GTGTCTCGCCTAGCCCTCTCCTGGATCGGAAGCCTTCTCTGCACCCTTTTGGATACGAACTACGGTACTCGCCCTTGACCGCGTCGCTCACCTAGCCCTCTCTTGCATTGGAAGCTACTGAGTTTTTTCCTTTGTCTCTTGACCACTGAGGTACTGCACAGGGTTCCTCCTCCCCATTGGTCTGCTGCTCATTCATGACACCTGCAAGCTTGGAATGACATCAGTGGGTCTCCTGGTGGTCCTCCAAGTGGTGCTAACTCGCTTGAGAGGCAGCATTAAGAATGAGAAATATTTCTGACAATAGGGCATGTGTGACTGCAGGTAATACTGAGATTATATCAGTTTACCTGAGCTAATGAACAAGTGGCAATTTCAGAATGACTGAATGCATAATAGAAATCGACTGGTGCATCCAAATTTAAAAAATTGGAAACATGGTGAATAACCTGAAACACCATTTTATTTACATGGTTAGAAGCAGCTCATTTGGCTTTTTTATTAACCGAAGAAAAAGCAGATCACTTACCAACCTCATACTTCATTATTAACAACAAAGCAACTTGACAACAGCTGTTATCTTTGTAGATGTACTCTAGGTTAATTAACTCTCCGGGACTGGAGAATCTGACTTGATTGGTGGATGAAATTGTTGGGTGTATAATCAGGTCTCCCTTTTATTTTAGATATAGTATATAGCAATTGCCATAAGGAATGTGTTTCATCCCTTTCACTATCCACCACATCTTGGTGCTTATCATTTTTTGTATTTATGAAAGCTGTCAGCATCCCTGTACTGGGTAAAGGCTCAGGTAAATATATTCACAAAAGGCAAAAATTAGATTTAGTCATTTACCCCTCTTTTTTACATATTTAACAGATTAACACTATAAAGACAATCTACAAAAGCTTTCATCTTTTAAAGTTTTCACATTAAAATCCAGACCAGTCCAGACATAAACATAAATAACACACGTTAGAGCTAGTTTTAACTGGACAATGAGTATTTAATGTTAAGTGTTGCGTTAATGGAATGTGTGCTCTCCTGAAAACAGCAGAAGTGATCTCTAAACAATGGGTAATCACAGCTAGATTGTGAGGTCAGGACCCACTCAATTTTCCACTTTTGTCTACTGTGGTAAATTGTAATTTCATTTAAGTGTTTTAAATCTTTCAGAAATAATGAGTCTTAATGTGTGATTATACTATATAATATTTTTTAATCGAACTGAGGAAATAATTCCAGGTCAAATGCAGAAAAGTATGCAGGTTGAAAAAAGTTTTTATATGAATTACAGAATATACTGTATATCAATTCTGTTACATTTGATCTCCCTCATACTGTACGTTATTCTTTTTACAGGATTATTTCATCAAATGTTAATGCTAATACTTTACCAAAGGATCTATGTATTTTAATGCCTATTTTTTTAAACAATTCATTTACTGCTAATGTTATTTTGATTATGGAAGAATAATAAATGGGTGCTTTAAATAATAAGCTTCATGTATCCTCCTTGACCATGTTTACTGATCACTTCAAAATATGCATACTGACACAGTATGGAGCACACCGGGTGGAAGTTTTCTTTTAATGGACTGCTCCAATGGTGGGTGTGCCAATGAACAGACAGTAGAGTGAAAAGCACATTTATTTAGTATAAACAATATGTGTCCTACTTCAAACTATCCTGATTCCGTACTATCTTGATTCATAATGCATGTTCCTTTCGATGGCTGGCTTCTTCAAAAATGGGCATTATTTAATCCTAATCACAAAATAAAAGCACCAATACAGTAGCATTTTACCTCACACCTGAAGAAGGTTCCACGGCCGAAACGTTGTGTTTTCTTTCTTCTCATTTCAGCATGGAATAAACCTACAGTATTACTTGTTCCTTAGTAGCATTTTAGTTTGAAATAATAGGTAGATAAGCATAAAAACATTTCTTCAAATACCTGCAATTCCCAATAGAATAAGTTGCGTTCTGTTTATAGATATATGCTCATATTTCTATCAATATTTCTGTGAGCATTTCCAGTTTTATTTTTCATTTCCAGAGAACATTGTATTAGTGCCCACTCCTGAAGCAGTTCCTATTAAATTTGTCATTTCTGCACATGAACAGGCAGTAAAGATTTTCCTTGGCTTGTATCAGAAAAGGCTGACCAAGCATGTAGTGCTTCACAGTTCCCAAGGCAGTCTGGAGACCCACAGGCACTTACGAGCTCCACCACCTCTCTGACCTATTTCCATTTGTGAATCAAACACCTGGTGCTGGAACTCGACTCAGTGCTCTCTAGAGCTCACTGCTTATACAGCGTCAGCCTTTTCACTGCCAAGAGCCTCTGAAAATTGCCAGATCTGCGAGCTAACATGAGATCAGCCAACATGTTTGCTCTAGTTCTCAGTTAACATATGTTTATTTATTGATTTATTCATCTGTTATAATAATAATAATTACTTACACTTATATAGTGCTTTTCTGGACACTCCACTCAAAGTGCTTTACAGGTAATGGGGACTTCCCTCCAACATCACCAATGTCTAGCATCCACCTGGATGATGCAACAGCAGCAATAGTGCACCAGAACGCTCACCACACATCAGCATTAGTGGGGAGAAGAGCAGAGCAATGAAGCCAATTCATAGATGGGGATTTATTAGGAGGCCATGATTGGTAAGGGCCAATGGGAACTTGGTCAGGACGCCGGGGTTCCACCCCTACTCTTTTCGAGAAACGCCCTGGGATTTTTAATGACCACAGAGAGTCAGAACCTCAGTTTTTCTCATCCGAAGGACGGCGCCTGTTTACAGTATAGTGTCCCCATCACTATACTGGGGCATTAGGTGCTACACCTCGTCCAGCAGCAACTTTAGTTTTTCCCAGGAGGTCTCCCATCCAGGTACTGACCAGGCTCACACCTGCTGAGGTTTAGTGGTTCCCAGTTGTGAGTTGCAGAGTGACATGGCTGCTGGTTAAAATTACTGCTGTTATTGGTTCAAACAGAAACAGTAGTCTGGTATAAGAATAAATGTACATAGAGAATGAGGCTTGTATTGCTATTACACTCCTGTTAAAAAGTGGTTACAGGCAGTTCTTGCCTTGTCTTCCCCACTGGTGTCTTGCTCATAACTGCTGTTTTGGAGGTGAGGGCTGGTCCCTTCACCAGTGTTTAGACTACCTGAAAAATTAAATGTTAAACATTCATAGCTAAGCAGCAATTGCATGCATTAGGAAACATTTCTCTCAGATGGTCATAGAAGACATTGCTATGAGTGACCAGTCCTCAGACACACCTGCATCCTGGTGGACATGGGTACCTTTTTTTCAACAGGCCTGCACACATCCATGGTTACGCATGGATTTCTTCATGCTTAAAATATCCAAGTATTGAAGCCCCATCGAACACCAACAGCAACTTTTTTAGCCACAAAATATCGCAATACAAAAATATCCAATCCGAATACAAAATATCACAATACAAAATACTAAATATTTTTTGCGACTCCTGCAGCAGGTGTGGACAGCTCTTCCACAATGACTTGTGATATGCTTGTGTTGAACAATGCCTCATTAAGCAGGGCACAAGACGGTAAGATTTGTTTGGGCATCAGTTACTCCTACACAATATTATTATATCTGTCAGATCACCTACTTAATATGGTGATCGTTATCTCTGCTTTGTGCATTGATAATCTGAACCAAATGATTAATGAATGAACCTCCTATACATGGAATATATATTAAGCTATTTCATTCATGCAACTAAGTTTTTACTAGTTCTCAGCGTATTCTGCTTTTGACACTACCAATATTAATGTATTCTGCTAAGGTATATTTAGTGGAAAGTCCTGTAAATGTGAGTTTAGGTGTGAATTTTATCTGCTGTCTTCCAACTAGCTGCAGTTCCTTTTGCATTTTGTCAGAAATGGAGACAAATAGTGGCTTCTGAAAACTCAAGTGAAAACTGTCAAGTACAGTGATAGCAGTTTTCTAAACTGAAAAGTGTAAATTGCAGTATTTCGTGTAAGAATAAAAAATGTATAATTTTGTTTGTCTTTTGGTCTTTCCTGAATGTTGATTCCAGTCTTGTTGGGAGGGGAGAGAAGGGAGAGGGATGGTCATTATGGAAGAGGGGAGGCACTTTGAGAGCTGTCGATTGCAGTTCCACTCTCCGTGCCGGCTGTGAAGGTACTGGTATTACTGTGTGCTGTGGGGTTTAATGCATACAGACGTTATATGTCTTTGCAATGTTTTATTTGTTCAACACAGACAAAACGTATTTGCTTGTGAATGGTTAAATATCCATAACTTATTTTCCACCTACAATTAGAGCTGCTCAAGTACAGCTAAAAAATATTTATATTATATAACGATTCATCAAGATATTTTCCGAATAATCTGTGACACAGTGCTTGCAAATATACCATATTCATATCTGCACTATATATACTCTACATTGCACCTACTGAATCACCCGGCAACCAACAGTTGAGTGGACATCTTTAGAATCTAAAGTGAAACACAAACTAGAGGGTACAAGGAAAAACTCATATAGAGAAGTGCATTTAAAACTGAGAATAGAAGCCATTTTTTTTACACAGAAAGTTGAAGGGGTCTTGAGCAAGAAGTGCTGTTGCAGCTGATGCCCTGCCATTTTCAAGAAACGTTCGAGTAAAAGGCCTGGATTAATTAGCCACTAGCGAACAAACATGCTAAACGAGCCGACCGAGTGTTTTATAATCAATAATGCAAGTACTGTAGCTCTAGTAAAGGGAGTTTTTCGTATCGATAATGAGCATCATAGTTGAAAGCCGAAATTTGGAGCGGTATTCCGGGACTAGCGTTAAGCACCACTGTGTTAAAGGAATGACAGTCGGTGTGGAGAGTAAACGCCTTTGCTGTTTGCGGCGCGTTAGTTCGTCCATTTCTAAAAAGCAGTCTTGCTTGACTTGTTTATACATGCTGTTGTTATTTGACGAATGTTCGCCGCTGAGTGGCAGCACTGTTTGCTTCTCTACACTTTCACTTTCATTTTCCTACGGCAGGGCGGGCAGTAAGTATCCCACATCACAACTTGGAACCAGTGACAAGGCAGCAGAGGTCTCTCTACCGAGGACTTAATTCGTGTTTCAGTTCGTCATTGTTGCTATACAGGTTTAGCAAGAGGTAAGCTGTTTTTGTTAGAGTTGTGACATTATTTCAATTTTCTACTCGATTAGTATGAAGTCAGGTTGAAATGAAACATACTGTACATCACATCCCTGTCTTATATTAAGCTGCTGTGGTGAAGGTTGTTTTTGTATCATTTGAGAGATACAGTATGACGCAGGACAGAGCTTTACAATTACATTCTTCCAGTCCGCGTAGTCCTGTGTCTCTAAAACTACGGTAATATTTATGCTTGTTGTAATGAATGCTGATACGGATGTTTTCTTGGGTCACTATTATTCATTTTACAATGAATTACTTCTGCTTGCACGTGGTTGGACATCATTTTCACAGCAGTTGCGTCATGAATTTAGCAGCGAAGAGACAATTGAATTTAAAGTGACGCTCTCCTGGGCTAGACCACCACAGTGCTGGGAAGCAAACCAGAAACGGACTGGGAATAAAAGTTTATGAATTTGCAGAAATTGCAGAATTGGCAAAAACTGTGCCAACTCTGTTGATACAGTACGTGTCCAAATTCCTATTCAGTCTTTAATTATAAATGTTCAGCCTATAAAGATTCTAAAAAGGAACAGATTATGTGATATGTGACCTGATGGGACAACTGATTTTTTCTCCCATATAAAAAGCCATTAAAAAAAAAAGAAGCATTCAAAGAAATACGCCGTTTTTGTAGTAATGTACAGTATTTAAGATGCAATGTCTATATTGCACCCTGTACACTTACTGTAACTGGATTAATTCAGGGTAATTTAAAAATTAAATTACATAAAAGGCTTGTGATGTGTATTTCGGTCATTCTTTGTCTAAAAGTTTGTGGTGTCTTAACAGCTTTCAGTATTTGACTTGTTTCTGTATTTTGGGGGACAGAATGTTTTGGAGCCCAAAGCCATGACAGTGCCAAGGCACATGCTATGACTCTGTCTGATACTATATTTCAGTATATCCACTGACATTATCTAAGGCCTGAGATGATGTTTTGAAATAGAAAAGGAATCTAATCTGAACCATGCTTTCCATATGTCATGCAGGTTATAATGACAAGCCCAGCGGTTGATCCAGTCGTGAAAAGCTCTGATGTTCCTGTAGTGACTCTGCAGAATAAAATACAATCTGCCAAAACCCCAGAAGAAAAAGAAAAGCTCAAGAAAGACCTAGATGACCTGATGCAGGTACCTGTAGCTAATTAGACTTAACATTGGCTAAAGTGTCATGCTAAAGAAAGAAACATAGGCCACGATTTCCAGATAGAGGTTGTGTAAATTATAGGTGTGGCACTCTGACCATGAGGAAGGAGGTTGTCCCAGGTGTGTTAGAGTCTGTTTTGTTTTAATAATAATGTGTTCCAATGTTCCAGCTCGTCAGTATCAAATATCATTGACATTTGATGTCGGTTTTCAAAAAGAACTTCTGAAACATGTTACAAATGCATTTACATAATGGCTCCTGAAAAGAAAAATCAGCCATCTGTTCTACACATGAATGCAAAACATAATAATTCCTTCAATAATAAACCTGGAATGTGCTGCACAAAAGAGCAGTATCTATTATTGTATTTCGTGAAACCCTTCCCTCGCTAAAGATTCTACTCGTGATTATCAGGATATACTGGTGCTGTCTATTTTGACATGTGGATGACAATGTTGAAAAAATAAATTCTTTAATTTACACAAATTAAAGACATTTACATATTCAGCAAATGGTAAAGAGGTTAAAAGATTTTTGTGCCAGATCAACATTTACAAAAGAAGTTCTGTGAGCAAAAATGATTATGTAAATAGGCAGATGAGGCTTATTTAAAAACCATGCAGATTGTATATATATCTACAGTAAAAACTTTTGAAACCAAAAACAAACAGCACATTTTTTTCCACAGACAAGAGAGCTAATCCGGGCATCGGTAATACAGATCATTGAAAAATCCACCGACTCCAAAGAGCAAGCACAGTCAATCCAAACCTCGGGACAAGCCGACATCACCAACTACAAGGTGTACCGGGAGGTCATAGAGTATTACAAGCAGAAATGTTTTAACTGGCACAACCCAAAGGTTTGTAATGACTCGAATCACATTCACGTGCTGCTGCTCCTCTTGAGAAAGTGATTAACATTTTGGCTAACAGCAGTACATACATCACTTTTTTATTAAATATATGTTGCATACAGCCTAATGTGACACGATCATAAAGGCAGTCTTCATGGAAGAATGATAAAAGACTGTCCCCAAAACATTCAGTTTTTCCATGTGTGTTTTTATGCTTGTATGTGTGATGTAAATCCCTCAACTGCTAAGCTTACTACAAGCTTCAGTTTTGAAATGATATCTGCCTGCCATTTCATATTGGCCAGTAGCCATATCACCCAGCAACTCACATCTGACAACCCACTGAAGCTAGGCAGCTGTGAGCCTGGTCAGTACCTGAATGGGAGACCTCCTGGGAAAAGCTCAGGCTGCTGCTGGTGTTAGTGGGGCCAGCAGTGGGTGCTTAACTTGCTGTCTGTGTGGGTCCTAATCCCTCAGTATAGTGATGGGGATACTATACTGTAAAAATGTGCTGTCCTTCGGATGAGACAAAAATGAGGTCCTGAAAATCCCAGGGAGTTTCTTGAAAAGAGTAGGAGTGTTACCCTGGTTTCCTGGCCAAATTTCCCCCTGGCCTTTAGCAATCATGGCCTCCAAATAATCCCCCATCTCTGAATTAGCTTCGTCATTATGCGCTCCTCCCTCACTATGACAGCTGATGTGTGTGAGTGTACTGTGCGCACTATGGCTGCCGTCGCATCATTCCCATTACCTGTAAAGCACTTTGAGTGGAGTGTCCAGAAAAGTGCTATATAAGTGTAAGGAACTGATTTATCCATTATTTTCCATTTTCCCTTGAGGTCCTTATGTACACTTAGTCGCACCCAGGTGTTCAGACATAAGCAGATACTATTTGGCCAGAGATCGGGAATAAAAAGTTGCCTGTTTTCTCTGACAATCTGACACAATAACCGATTAATTTCGTTACCACTAAGTTTCCTGGTTTGAAATTCATAAGATTGCCCTACTAAAACTGGTTTCTGACCCACGACTTTACCAGTCACTGGTGAAGCTAAGGTCATTGATGGAGCTGGTCTGCCTTTACTCTGTTTATATACTGGGAAATCAGGCTCTACCCTGGTGTCCTGGAGTTTTCCTTGTGAGAATGCCAAAAGAGCTCCTTCATTCTCTGGAGCGTTGACCTTCGCTTTCTTTCATCCCTCAAGCCTCTTTTGCTGAACTATGTTGAACTGTCATATACATTATCTGGAATTAATCACTTGTGTTATAGTATATTAATGAGTGTATGTAAGAATTTAGTAAGAACATATTAAATGAACTTTAGAATTTTGCACCTACTGTATACCTTCCTGTGGGAATCAGAAGGTGTAGACCTTATCTCTAAATCATTGAAGTGATTTAAACATGTTCTAATCTTTGTCATTTTAATTACCTTTCACAGTATGCATATGCCCTTCATCAGCTGCACCTGTTCTCAAATCTGTGTGAGGCGAACGTGCCCATGGAGCGGTAGGTCTTTCTCTGTTATTGACTCTAATAGATGTCTAGAACAGTGTTGACCTGGCTGTGCAGGGGTGGGCCATTGGCAGCTGGGGAAACTGAGCTGTGTATTTGACATGTTGCACTTACAATAAAAGCAGGACTGGTGGTAAGATGGGATTCAGTCAGCACTGTGCAGGGAGACTAAAATGTAGAGCAGCGAGTTCAGATCTGACTTTGCCATTATTTGTACCAAACACTATCATTCCACCACCAAATCAATCTTGCACTCTGCACCTTCCAGCCCATCTGGTTGGACCAGTAGATTCTACAAGCTCCTCCTTCCCCACACCCAGTGAGTGATGTTTCCTTCTGCATTGCTGCCATCCTGCTGCATGGCACATATAATGTACCTGTACCTTACTATACAGTGCTTGTCACATGACTCTGACACTCCTTTGCCATTACCTACCTTATGTAAAGTGCTGAGCTTTCTGTTACGGTTGAATAGACCTAAAATGTTTTTTTTTAATTGCAATGTATTTCTGATAGGAATCTTTGCAGGTTGTTTTAAATGAAGGTCACAGCCAAATTAATAATAACGCAACAAAAAATAAGTGACAGTAATTTCTTCTTATTAACATATTTCGCCTGATGTGGAAAAACAAATGACATGCATAGCTATATAAATGACAAGATTTCCAGTTTCAAGTTTTTCCATCTGGAATTTCCTGTAACGTCTCAATGTATTTTTTTTTTTAGAAAAGGCAAACATTGTGATTAATGGAATTCGGCTCGTTTTTTCTTGACTTTTTGAGTAAAAGCCAGTGCATGAATGATCTCATACTGTATATATGTTTATTTTTGCTGCCCTAATGCTGCAGTAATTACAACCTTCACCCAGCATCCTTTACTTTGAGGGTTCGGTGATACGACATGTTTCTACTAATCCTGATGTAGAAACAGGATTAGCGCAGAAGTGATATGGACAGTAAGTTACTTGTCTGTTCTTACAGCATTAAAACAGCCATTGATGTCGTAAGTGAAAACCTGAAGAAAGGAGATGCAGCTGGATGTTGAGCAACGGCCAGAACGGACCCTAATGGAGCATCTTCTTTTACTACAGAGCCACAGCTGAACTAACACTAACAGGGCAGACACTGTATATTTTCATTCTAGAGAGGCCTGGGAAACAGGAAACAGTGTTATTCTGTTGTGTGTGTGTTTTTTCTGTTTTGTTTTACTGTAATTTTTTATTCCTTTTTTTTCCTTTTTAATGTATTTACTGTATTGTATTATTTCAACTAGATTTTTACTGCACTGTGTTGATTGTGCCTGGCTGCCGTAGCACTTGAATTCCCTGCATGGGATTAATAAAGTACCTACCTACCTAGCTGTATTTTGGATAAAGTAGCTTATACCTTTTCTCTTGCTCGAAGTGGGCTCTTGAGCGGTGGAGCGGTGGCTCTGTGGCTAAGGATCTGTGCCTGTGGCTGGAAGGTTACCGGTTACCTGAGCAAGGCCCTGAACCCCAACTGCTCTAGGGGTGCTGTATAAATGGCTGACCCTGTGCTCTGACCCCAAGCTTCACTCCCTGTCTGTGTGTCTCATGGAGAGCAAGTGTCACGTAGCAGTTCTTTCCGGGCCCTATGCAGACGACACAATCCGGTTGGTGAAGACACAGTAGGAATAAAATCATGCAGGGGAAGGGATGGAGACAGGGGGCGTGTCCAAGGAGTGCAGGTGTCCAGGGGGAGTGAGTCTAGGGCGAACAATCCATATAGGAAATCCAAACGGGTAATCAGAAACAAAGGCAGAACTCCATGGCCAGGCGATCCATCCGGGGGGACTAGGAACAGAAACCATGTCAGAACCGGCGAGGGGAAATCAGGAACAGAAAATTAAAAGCATAACGGAGCCAGATGTACAGTAGCAGGACCCTGGGCTCTCATGGAACACGATTCAATGAGGAATCTCGGGTGACGTCTGCGTCTGGCTTTTAAGGTGGAACTAAGGAGGGGCTGGAATAAGGGACAGGTGTGGGGAATGAGGTAGAATGAGGAAGGGCTGGAGCGCCCTTAAGAGGAGGAGTGCATTCGTGACAGTAAGCTGGGGTATGCAAAAAGACAATTTCCTAGTGCAAGAAATCGTAAAGGGCTAATAAAGAGATCTTACTTTGTGCAAAGGTGTAACGCTGGCATTTTCCACTGGACGGTGAGCCTTATGACCATTACTGGCTTGCAAATCCCTGGAAGAGTGCCACCCACTGCCTCGCCTACATCCAGCTTCCAACGTTTGCAGAAAAATTTTCCATGTTAGCTCACAGCCCAAAAAGCCCAAACCAGGGTTTGTATGTGGTGGTGTGGTGATTGTGGTTCTTCTAAAATAAAATAAAAAAATAATGCTCATACTTTATTTTCAAGTGAAATCTTATTTTCTTTTAACCTTAATCTTTCTTTTTATCTAAACAGTTAAAAATAAATCTGTGAACATTTTTGAGTTCTTAAAGAATTGTACATTTAAAATTTCTAACCATAATGATACCTGCGGTTTTAATATTTTATATTAAACAGAACATTATGTGTACTGGTTATGTTCCTATTTTAATGGTTTGTTGTAGTGTGCTATCTGAGATCCCTTTCCAACTCTTTTAAAATAATATGATCTGGTCTAATGATCTAAATAATACAATACATACCCCAAGCTTGAAACTGTACATTTGTATTAATCTTATTATGAACTCAGAATAACAGTACAATTACACAATTTATGAAGATACTCAGAAGGCTTATGGAAGTGCCAGATGTTCTTTCCTCTGTGCGTATATTCCTTGAAAAAATAAGTTTTTAAAATGTAAGCCTTTGGATAAGAAGTTAAACATATATAAATTAATACCAGCTATTTTTTATTCTTATTTTGAAGTTATATGTGGTGGTGATGTAACTTTAAAAAATCCTCAGGGAAAACCTTCTGGTTTTCTTGTTCCCGCTGAGCTTAACTGAAGCTTTAATTGGACTAACAGTTGCTTAATTAGACCTTTTTAAATTGTTTTCAGCTGTAAAACAGTTGGACATTTTAAGCTGCTGATAAAGTTTTAAAACTAGCTGCAAATGTGCCACTTTACTGAGAGCTGGAAATCAAAAGATTCAATCAAGCAAATTATGAGCTCAATTAAGGTTTTAATTAAGTTCAGTTGCAGTGTAAAACAGAAAATGAAGGAGATTGCTGGAGGCAGGTTAGGGATATTCTATGTTAATATCTTAATAGGACTCCACAACTTCAGTTCTTAAGGTTTTTTAATGTGGTATAGGTCTTTTCATATCATAAGAATTTGAGATCAGTTATAAACAAGAAAGCCAAGTGGCCCATCTAGCCTGTTTGCTACTTAGTAGCTAATTGATCAATGAGCCCCATCCAGCCAGGAAATTGGCTTTAATAGACTGGGTAGAGTGTTCCATACTCCGGCACCTTTTTGCGTAAAGAAGTGCCTTCTGTTCTAAGTTTTAAATGCAGTTCTGGACTTTCCACTTGTGTCCTCTGGCTTGTGTTTTACTGTTAGTTTCTGAAGAAATCCTCTGGGCATGCTTTTGAGGATTTTTAATACTTCTGTCTTCGGTCCATAAAGAACTGGTGTTCAACTGATTATTTTAATTTTAATTCAATTAAAAATACTTTAATTTCAGCAATTTAAGCCAATCATTACACTGGGAAAAAACACTTCCAGACATAGCAGCCCTCCAGGATTGTAGCTGAACACCCTTAGTATCTAGCCTTGCAGTCAAATCCTGACTCCCCTAATCAATTCCATTGTGAGAATCAATGAATTGATCAACTTTATAATGTATAACAAAGCAGCTGTTTGTACCAGGGACTTGTATGGTAATGGATCTCAGGGTTTCCTAATACTACTGCTTGAGTGCCTCTGTCTCCCAACCAAGCTCTCAAGTAACTTAATTGAACTACTGATTTTTTTATCTTATTTCACTTACAATTCAACATAGTTCAGTAATACAGTACATTTCATAGCTAACAAGTAATAGTCTAAATTTAAAAAACGTGAAAACAGTTTATAAAAATTCCAGCGAAACTGGAAAAACAAATACGTTTCGTCATGCAAGATCATCTTTGACAGAAGTTAATATACATTTTATTTTAAAATATTGGTTATAGCTTATGATGGTTCAGTATGTGCTTAATTTGAAATCCAGAAACTGATGGTAACAAAAGGTCAAGTGAACACTGTATTGCGGTTATGATTCAGATTGTAGTTTCAGTTTTCTTTCCTTGAAGCTGAAATTAAAACTGCATTATACACAACAGAATTTTATACAGTTACAGGATGCAGATGGTAAAGGCAACACAGCCTTGTCCCCCATTCAGATTGTTGGTGGGATAAAATGCTGCTGTTATTGGAACAGTTTCTTTTTCAGACTGAAACTGGTTCAAACCCTTTCTGAGAAAATGAAACTTAAAAAAGTTATAAGGCATGCATTTCCTTAACTTGCCTCATATTGCTGTTCACCTAACCAAAGGACAGTACAGAAAGGTAAGACCAAGATGTAATTCTTTTCATTTTCTAGAGTGATCCCAGAAATCATAAACTAACAGCATAAGAAGCATAGTGGAAGGTTTATAATAAGTAACACAACGTGTAAAATGTAATATTCTAATTAAATAAGAAAGGATACGCATGATTGGAAGCCAAATGGCCCATTTAATGTTTTAGGCTTAATTCAAAGAAAAAAAATGAACTGTTGGAAAACTGTTGTCTGACAAGGTTATGACAAAGCACTGTAAGGCAATGGAATGATTGTTGCAACAGTTTTACTGTTGTGAAGGATGGTAAGTAAATGGGACGACCTTTTGTTCTAATAATTTGATTATGAACAAATTATGTCATAATCAAGAATCTGCGAAAATTCAAACTTCAAACGCCTTGAAGGCGCTTTCATAAAAGCTGTGCAAGGATTTGGGATTGGGTATTCAAAGACGTGTATTTGGGCTTTGCAATGAATTATCCTCCTAAGGTTTGATATGCACCTTGGGTAAATACAATGGAAATAAAATAAGAAGCTTAGAAAAAGTTGGAGGACAACAAATGCATCATAGATATTATGTTAAGAAATAATGATAAATTACCATCATATCACCCCTGAGGTCAGCAAATCTAATAAGAGTAGGAATTGAGGGGTTTCAAGGCTAGCAAAGGTTTGAAATGAGTCTTAATTTGTTTTTAAAAAAGAACAGAGAGAGATCAAACAGTGACATGTGCAGTAAAAAAATCATGTTCCTGTAATGCTCTGCACTCATTTACAAGAAGCTTCTATATTTTATAATAATAATAATTTTCTGTACACTCCACTCAAAGAACTTTAGAGGTAATGGGGACTCCCTATTGTAGTGCATCACTCACCAAACACCAGCTATCAGTGGGGAGGAGAACACAATGATTAAGAATTATTAGGAGGCCATGATCGGTAAAGGCCAATGAGACATTCAGTCAGCTCACCCCTATTATTTTCAAGAGATGCTCTGGGATTTTTAATGGGCACAGAACATGAGGACCACAGATTTATGATTTAGGATAGTGCTTTTTTTACAGCACAGTCTCCCACTAACCTCTTCCAGCAGCAACCTTAGCTTTCTCAGGAGATCTCCCATCCAGGTAGTGGCCAGGTTCACACCTGCTGAGCTTCAACAGTTTGCCAGTTGTGAGTTGATGACCTTATACTGTACATCATTGCTTTCAGTTACAAAAATTGTCAATTTTAGAGTAGCATGTATTTTAGAACCAATATATACTTATGAAAAAAAGAACCGCAACACCTCCTCCTCCACACTCTGGCCCTCCAGTCTGCGTGGAACAGGCTGAAGAGTGACTCATCCGTGAAGAGGACCTGATGCCACTGCTGACGAGTCCATCGATGCCTCTGTCTGGCCCAAGCCAGTCGGGTGTGGCATCTAGGAGGTGTGAGCAGAGGGCCTCTGACAGGTCGCCTTGCTCTAAAGCCAGCAGCATGGAGCCTCATTGTCCTGTCACTGATGCGGGCATCGTGTCTGCTGGCAGTTTCAGCAGCAGTACGGGTGGCAGATCTAAAACAATCTCTCAGATGGACCAGTCTGATGTGTTGGTCCTTTGGTGTGGATCTTGGACAGTCATCTGTCCTGCTGGTCTGCTGAAACCTTCTCTGCAGTCGGGACACAGTGGAGCGGCTTACTCCATAGTGTCTGGCAATGCTGGCACATGACATGCCTACCTGCAGCATGTCAATGGCCCTCTCCCTTGCTTCTGGTGACATTCGAGGCATTATGGAATGCACAGAAAACTGACAAAGTGTGGCCTTTTTCTTGCAGCTTTGAATTAAGGCCTTTTTAAAGATGACCTGATCAGGCATTGTTCTGCCTGAACCTCGTTGGGTAAAAGTGCACCTAACAAGCTTTCGTGTGATTGGCAAGTTGTAATTCCTCACTGCACAAGCTGTATTGCTGGTCAGAGGGCTTAAAACAAATTGACAAGTTTTTGTGAAAGTACATAAGCTATAACTATAGTATTCTCATTCCAGAAAATGTTGCATTTCTTTTTTCCATCAGTATATATTTAGTTTATATGATTTATAATCATATTAATATCATTTTATATGAACCTTTCAGATGCACAGATTACTATATGTGGGACAATGGTACTTTTTCTGTTATGTTTCACACAACAGGTGACTGTCTGGTTTCACATGCACAGAATTTCAAGGGCTTGAGAAACCTACAAATTCTAAACAATATAAGCAATGTTTTTTCTCATCTGAAAGATGTTTCTTTAAATGTCCGTATGGAATGTGGTTTCTGTATACATAGCCCTGTTCAGAAAGGGGGTTGATTTCTAGTATGGAACCTGGTTGTTCTTAAGAGATCTTTCTGGTACATGGTGCCAGGGACTACACATTGGCATATGTATTGCGTGCAGTAACACCGTGACTGCCCAAACAGATTAAAACAAAACACTGAAGACACTGCCGATATTAAACTACCAGCCAGACTTCAACACATCAAACATCCCTGAAGTATGAAGTGTGCTGGACTAGAGCTACAGTACCTGGGTGTATCCAGATTGTAGATGAGTTAGAAGCCTTGGGGGTACCAGGCTCCTGTCTTAAAAATCTTGACTCCTATTGCAAAAGTGTAAGATAGTTACAGAGGGTATTGAGGAACCACCCACCAATTACAGAGTCTGAAACAGAAGCTGGCCTGTCAGGTAGCTGGCCAGAAAACAGGGGGTGACTTTTAAAACAGACAGCAGATCAAAAGGAGTAGAATGAAAGAGGGTTACAGGAAGATGAGAGAGAGGGTGGAGGACTTGCAGGGGCTCTGGGAGGGGCAGCTTCACAGAATAAAGCCCGGAGCATCAGAGATGCCTGGCCAAATTTCCCATTGGCCTTTATCAGTCATGGCCTCTTAATAATCCCCATCTACAGTATGAATTGGCTTTGTTACTCTGCTCTCCTCCCAACTGATAGCTGATGTGTGGTGAGTGTTCTGGTGCACTATGGCTGCTGTCGCATCATCCAGGTGGATGCTGCACATTGGTGGTGCTGGAGGGGAGTTTCCATTACCTGTAAAGTAGAGTGTCTGGAAAAGCGCTATATAAGAGTAAGCAATTATTATTATTATTATTATTATTATTATTATTATTATTATTAAGAGTGCTGCTTTTCACCTGTGTTACCTTTATTTTAATTTATTTTGTTATTGGTAAGATTTTGCTCTTTCTGAATTCTGCTGTACCCAACACGCTCTGGGCATTCTGAACCCAGCCACAATTTAATTGTTTTCTTATTTCCAGGTCTTGTTTTACAGTCCATTGCACTTGAACTGACCTAAAGAAAGGACAATGGGTGGAAACAGCTCTAAACAGTGGGTTCTGCTTGCAGCAGGATCTAAAGGCTGGGAAAACTACAGGCATCAGGTAGGTGTCTCATCTGTATAGACGTGCTTTTTTGTAAATCCTAATTTTTATGAAACGGAACATGTCATAGTGAAATGTGACATTTTGTAGAGCAAACTGTCTTCTTTAAATTTAAAAAGACATATTTAATTTAACATCGTGCCTAGATATGGTAGTTGTATTCATCATAGCATGTTGGCATTCATACTGCAAACCTTAGTCTTAATTGAGGCCTACGTAACTTTTTTGGAGATGTGAGGTAATAGAGTATTGTTTAAGTGGTGCGTGCTTTTCTATACAGACTATCAAAGGATTAGTGAACTCTGTCAGATGAGCAAAAAAAGAAATTGTACAGACATTTATAGGGAGGTTTTAAGGAGATATGTGTTTCCAATAAAATATGTAAAAGTGTATTTGTGTCATTCTTTTTCAGAAATAGTCGGTTACAACAATATAAAGAACAAGGATTTTCCTGACACAGTACATCAAATACAGTACCTACAAATGCTCAGATTATATTTTATGAGACCTTTCTCTCCTCATTTGCCAGGAGTCCGATGCCTCTTCTATCGATACAAACAGATAAACCAATGTTTGAACGTGTCTTTAGATAGTGTTAGTATATTGGGACTACTGCTTTACACATTATGCAGAAGACTGAGAAGTGGTCATCGCTGTCGTTTAACCTTTTGTTACCTAATTTGTGTATGTTACTCTGCATTAATATCATCAATAGTGGTGAGATCACACACAAATGTTGTAAATGTACAATTCCACTTTTTTAATGTTGTTGACCTTGTAACTTGAATTTGGACATCTAGAGGAACTTAGATTTTTTTTAATTGCCAAGTGTTTCTCCGTCGTATTCTACTGTCTACCACAGGCCAATGTGTGCCATGCATATCAGATTGCGAAGAGAAACGGGATTCCAGATGAGCAGATAGTGGTTATGATGTATGATGACATCGCCTATAATGAAGAGTAAGTTTTGAAAACATTCTCAGATCATGTGTACACAGTGAAAAGTGTTTTAGTCCTTTACACGCTACATGCTGGTTTGGCACCCCACATGGTATTGCCTACCCTTCGACAGAGCTCATCCCTCAATCTCTCCTCCCTAATCTATCAGGACCCAAAACAAAGTGTGGAAAATATGTCCTAAAATCCCAAGTTTTTAATATTTTGTCATAGTGTGGAACCCTTTCATAGTGTGGTTCTAACCTGGAACACCTTTGTCTGACCCCAGTTGCACTCCCAGACAAAGCTGAGGTGTTGCAAGATTTTTTGCTACCAGAATTTGAAACAGCTGTCACGAACCGCATTCCTACGAGCACCTCTCACCGCCAACACCCGCGCACTAATTAATCAATTGTCATTCCTCATGCTCTTCCCTATTTATACCCTCTCACTCCACTCGGTCCCCGCTCGCTATTGAGAATTACCCTTGGCTTTCTCTGGTGCGCGCTACAAGTCTTGACCTGATTTTTGGCTATACCTTGTTTCCTCCTGGTTTGACTTCTCCTTGCTGCTCATTTTGGATTTGGATTCACTCGACCTGACTCTTTTGGTTACCTGAACTAGTTATTTTGCCTCGACTATGACTTTTGCCTTTTGCCTTTGGGATTTGGATGCCAATCTGTAGCAATAACCTTCAGTCTCAGTGCCGCATAGGGTCCAACCTGGTGCTCCCAATGCCTTCTCTGACAACAGCAGCTCTTTGCAAGGAGTGTGACAAAGCTCCCGTTGCATAGCAGATCCATTCTAGGCTCCAGGCTCTTGCCAATTCAGTAAAAGAAGCAGAAGAGCAGAATATGCCAGTCTTCCAAAATTTACTCTGCCTGGCCATTTTCTTCTTCTCATGCTCTAAGCCAACAGCCGAGGTAAGGCACTGGACATAGGACTGACCTGGCTCGCAGATAACAGTTTTGCATGGCAAGCCAAGGAAACTCTGTCCAACTTCAAGCTCTTCCCAGTCCCCACCAGCCCATGGCTTGATCTAATCCTTGGGCAATCCTGGATTAGGAGGTGCTTGTGCTTCACCTAAGGTGATGTTCGATCTCGATGGATGTTGAACAGCACAAAGTCATTTTAAATATATATTGTATTTATACAATACTTTTCATTCTGAAAGGTCCAAAAGTATAGGTGATTTACAGCTTGAAGAGGGCTCACTTCCAGCTTCCTCTGGTATTGCAGGCAAGAGTGGACAAAAATGACTTGACCTGCTTAAACTTAGAGGGATGAAATTTTGTGGGGAAGACTGAAAAAGTTAAAGAAACTTTGTAAAAAAAGCGGGATTATGGAGCAGTGCCGTAGGACCGAACATAGCCTTGGGTTAATGTTGTTTTTAAAGCTTGCATTACCTGCAAGACTTCATGACAATCCCATATCTTTACTGAGCACAAATTTGATGTACTGTATCTTGGAGCTTAGTCATCAATGACATTGTGAGAAAACAAGAAAGCGAGTACTGGAGTTCATTCAGATGGGGTTTTTTAGCATGAATTAAAATTGTTAATTGATCACTGTCAATTGGATGCCATCGTAATAATAACCAAGTTGCAAGCAATAATAAAATTTGTAATTTATATTTATTTCCTCCCACAGAAATCCATACAAAGGGAATATCATTAATGTTCCTAAAGGAGAAAACGTGTACATAGGAGTTCCTAAGGATTATACTGGAGCTGTAGGTAACCCTTTCCTTCTGTCTTTCCGTTTACAATAGCTGCTCCCTTTGGGTCATAGTTAAAAACACATCTCTTCTTAGTTCGATTTACTTGCCCACACTCCTTTATCAAGAGTGTGTTTTGGACTGAATGATTTGCACAGTCTGGCGACCCATCCAGGGTGTTTTCTCTCTTGTGCCTGTTGGTTGATAGGGTAGGCTCTGGCTCCCCTGTGACCCTCGATAGGGAGAAGTGGTGAGAAAAGTGATGGATGGGTGGATGGATTTGCACAGTATGTTTTTCATGAGAACTGCAAGCATTCTCGTGAGCCAGGTATAAACAATACTTATGGCTTTGCTTGGCTTAAAGAGCTACTTAAGTCTTTCACTAGGTGTGCTGTTCTTTGAGTAGCCCTGTGCTGTACAGTATATTTTGAAGTAATGTAGTGATATCGTGTATTTTTAAAATACACTGTATGCACACGTGCTTAGGAAAATGAGAGGGCAGTAGGTTTTCAGGTTAAGGGTGATCTAGGTTAATATTTAAGAGCAATGTTTTCTTGAGGTTCTCTGACAGGATGGGCTTAAACATGCTTCATCTTTGAATAAGTGGGTTCGCTTAGTTCAATGGATGTTTTCAGATTCTAAAGTGATAATACTATTTATTCCTGTATTCCTCCCAGGTGTCTCAAAGAATAAGAAGGCCTCTGTCAGAAAGTGACTCTTTGTAAAAAGGAAACTGACAGTAGTAACAAAGAAAGTGATAGTAGTAAAAAATAATCTGTATAGGTCTACGTCTCCACATTGAGGACATTTAACAGAGGATCAACAGGCTGTCAGAAAAAAAAGCAATTTAAATAAAGGTCTAGGTAACACTTATCATACATCACACAAAAAGGGATTTCTCTAATTAAAACACAATGAACAAGGGGCACCTATTCTATAAAATAGCTATCTTCCTTGCTAAATGTGAGGAATAATACAGAATAAGGTGAGCTGCATCTTCCTGGCACTAGAGGGAAGAGTTGTACCAATATTACCAAAAACATACTGTACAATAACTTGAAAAGTATGGTACATTATGCCATAATCTTGTCTGTTTACTGGATTTTTAACGTTTCAGCTGAATATTGCTGAGAAACACTGGACTGTACTGACTACACCAGCTTTGGGATTTTATAATAATCCACCTTTAAAGTATTTCAGTGATGGTATTATTTGCTAAATAAAAATAATTTTCAGCAGCCTGTAATGTGTTGAAATAATGTGCTTATTAAAGATGGGTGGATGAAGGGTTACATTATTATGTCAAAGGTAATGGATATATTCAAGATCCAAATTTGTGTACACATCGAAATTTGATTTGTTCCCAGAATATTACGTTGCAAAACGACTTAAAATGTTACCTATCTTAGATAGATACTTTATTGATCCAGTGAAGGAAATTGCAGTGCAACAGCAGCTTAACACAGACAACACAGACACAGTGTAACGAATGATACAATAATAATAATACAATACATATAATACAATCAGTACAGTGAGAAGTGCACTAAGAAGAGTTACTCACAGTCCAGAACACACAAAGAACAAACCAGATCAGAAACATACACAAAAAAGTCATTTTGCACAATATGACTATAGATATAAATGTATTGCACAGGTCCCTGACATATATTGCACAAAAACGGTTTTAAACAGGGAAAGAAAAAGAACAAATGTATCTTGCAATACCCAGCAAAGTACTGTATCAATGTTCAGTTAAGAAAAAGAAGAAAAGTGATTTTTTAATCCTTGTCATTGTGCAAATCCCTAGCTGGACAGTAGAGGGGGGGCATGATGATGTTATAGTGGTTGTAAAAACATTTGAAGGGCTGTAGGGCCATGTTTCAACCCTTTGTCAGCAGACTGACACAAGTCCCTGCCCTGCACTTTAGTAGTGTTACCATCTCAATTGTATTCTTGCTATGGAATGCTTTGTGCAGTAAGAGGTCCTCAAAGGTGAAGAGTCTTACAGAGCTTGTCCATGAGACCAAAAAAGTCTCCGAAACACTCCAAAACACTGATGTGGTCTCGTTTCATGTTCAGAAAGCATCTGGATGCTTATCTAATTTTTGTGCTGCTCCTTTAAAAATCCTGTAGTTTTTTATCTTTATCATTTTTAGTTACACTTTCTTCCATTACTACTGCTTTTGTGTGCACAAGTAAGACTAATTGGAGAAGTTAGATTTGAAGTGATTTGATTATCAGAATAAATTACCTCTCGTCTATTTAAGGGCCCATTGCTTGCTGGGATAGGCTCCTGCTCCCCCGTGACCCTGAATTGGATGAAGTGGTTAGAAAATGGATGGATGGATAGATATTTAAGTGGTCTTTGTAATAGTTGCTTTCTCTCTCCTTTCATTCTAAATTATGGATTGCTCAGAACCATTCAGTTTGACATCATGACATTGCTTTTCCTAATCCCTGCTCTCCTGCAGGAGGTGTCCGCTGAAAACTTTCTTGCAGTCCTCAAAGGAGATGTGTCAGGAGTCAGAAAGTTGGAACCCAAAAAAGTGATAAGGAGGTGAGTCTGTTCTGCCTCTTTCTGTTGTGACAATCTGAATGTTGCTAAAACTAAAAATGGGTGTTAATGATTTGGTTAAAACCTTAAATTATTGCAAATTAAACAAATTTATATTCACCCTTAAATCTGATCATTTATTATATTTTTCTTAAATATTCCATAATAGTGGAAAACATCCTTAGTTCAGCTTGTTGTAAAGGTTTACATAATTGCAATTTATTATCCCCTTGAAATAATGACGTTCTATTGTTTGTTTTTATACAGCGGATCCTATGATACCATTTTTGTGTATCTAACCGACCATGGCAACAGTGGGATATTTACATTCCCAGGTTCTGAAGTAAAATATTTTGCTATTTGAATTCATTTAGTATTGTTTTTACTTTAAATTGTAATTACTTTTAATTTGTGGAATTATTTCTGTTGCAGTTATTGGCCCTGGAATTAGTAGAAACTGTTACACAAATGTCCAGAAATAGTCAGTTTTCCAAGGTAAGTGTGAAAGAAAATGAAAAAATAAAATTGACCAAATTCTACAAGTTTAAATCTAATAAATGGTCTTTAAAACATTTTAGATGGTGATTTATATTGAAAGCTGCCACTCTGGATCAATGATCAACAACCTCCCAAAGGATGTCAATGGTAAGTTTTCTTTGAATTTTTTATTGTATCAATGTACATGATTTTCAGAGAATAAAAAGCAGGTTTAACTTAAATTATTGCAGCAAAAGGAAACATACATTGAATCAGTCAGCATATGCCACAGTTATAGTCATAGTCGAAGCTAGAAGTTTTTGCTACAAAACTCAACTGCAAGTACACCTAGTTTAAAAGAATATAAAACCACTTCTCATTTCTGCTTATTTACTATTAGCATGTTAATGTTTTAGCAGCAGCATTATGTTTGCTCATATTATTGCCAGCAGCCATATCACCCTGCAACTCACAACTGGCAACCCACTGAAGCTAAGCAGGTGTGAGACCTCCTGGGAAAAACTAAGGTTGCTGCTGGAAGAGGTGTTAGTGGGGCCAGCAGGGGTTGCTCACCCTGCGGCTCATGTGGGTCCTAATGCTCCAGTGTAGTGACGGGGACACTATACTGTAAACAGGCACCGTCCTTCGGATGAGACGTAAAACCAAGGTCCTGACTCTCTGTGGTCATTAAAAAGCCCAGGGTGTTTCTCGAAAAGAGTAGGGGTGTACCCCGGAATCCTGGCCAAATTTCCCCATCGGCCTTTATGAATCATGTCCTCCTAACAATCCCCCTCTATAAATTGGCTTCATTACTCTGCTCTCCTCCCCACTGATCGCTGGTGTGTGGTGATTGTTCTGGCGCACTATGGCTGCCGTCGCATCATCCAGGTGGATGCTGCACATTGGTGGTGGTGGAAGGGAGTCCCCATTACCTGTAAAGCGCTTTGAGTGGAGTGTCCAGAAAAGCGCTATATAAGTGTAAGCAATTATTATTATTAATTATTGTCATATTGTGTTTGCATTTGTAGTCTATGGAGTTTCTTCAGCCCGCTCAGACCAGGCCACCTTTGCCTGTTATTTGGACAGAGACAGGAATGCTTATCTGTCAGATGAATTTAGTGCACTCTGGATGCACCACATTGAAATGGTTTGTAATTTTCTTTTTTAATCATTGCATTTTTTGTTTTTGCTTGCATGTACTTTTCTGAAACAATGCAATAAACTCCATGAAAAAATATACAAATATTTACTGATTGAGAGCTGATGACAGTTTCTGTAACAGGGCTTGTTCTGTGTGAGCCTGTCATGGCAATGTAACTTCCTGAAGACAGGGGTTCCTGATCCTGGTTCAATTGTGTAACCAAGAGCTTGGCTGGAACAAAACCCAGCAGGTGTGGTCCTTGCTACTTGCTATTCTATATAATATTAATCTCAGCAAAATTAAGTGGGATTCAGGAGAGGATTAGGTCACAAGGAGTGTCTTCAAGTGCTTAGAACAGTTTGGAAGGTGTTAACAAGTATAAAGTGCCACTGTGTCTGGGATTAATTGTTGGTGGGAAGGCACACAATGCTGTTTATGCTACATCTGCCTTAAAGGAAGGAAACAATCAAAGACTTCAATCCCAGCAACAACCACATTGAAGCTACACAAAGACATTAGGAAGATCGGGATCAATGAAGGTATCTGGCAGGTCATAGTATTGCTGAAATGCCAAGGCCGGTTACAGCCGCAAGGGTGGTGATGCATCAGAGCCCAAGCACAAGTGACCAGAGAGTGGTGGAACACTCAAAGAGACCCAGCTGATTGAGGTCCAGGATGCTCCAGGAGAAAGAAAGTGAAAACAGAAAGGGCGATGATTAAATAATTACTGGCCAGCAGGGCTAAAACAGCCCAGGACAGACAGTAACAAGAAGAGAAACTGGAAAAAGTCAGACAGAAATGGCCGACAGAGTAAGTAAAGCACCAGCCGGACAGCAAGATAAAAAACCTAGTGAGGGATGATGACCCCTAAGATGCTGGCTGTCTGCACCCCTGGCAACCTAAGCACCAGTCCCAAATTAGGGCTGCTCATCCCAGGCCGCCGACTCTGGGATGGAACCAGCTACCGAGCCTCCACAAGGAAAAGGGGCGACACAGATCTGGGAAGCGGCTTTCCAGGTAGCCAGGAGTGCAGGCTGGCAAACCCACAGGCCGATGTGCAGGACAAGAAAAGGAGTCTCCTCAGGGTGCAGCTGTGCTTTGTCCCAGGGGCTTTACTGAGAGGAGGGGTCTCATCAAACTGGCAAGGCAGGAAATCCCCACACAGTGGTGCAGTCAGAGGCCCAGGAACCAGGTCTCCTCCAAGCCCAGGCCAGGCGTGCACTGTCAAAGCACGGTCTCCAGGTTTCACTCTCTGACCACGGCTCCTGGGTGCGAGCAGAATCGGATACCCAGGTGTCCTCTGGACCAACTGCGGGCGACATCTTGAAGGACAGGAGGCAAAGACCCATCCTAAGATCCCTCTCAACTCTCAGAGCTGTTAACACAGCTGCAGAAAGCCTCAGGAAGGAGCAGAAGGCTCCTTTGGGACACTTGAAGGAGACTGGGGAAAAGGGAGAAAGAATAGAACCCAGACAGCCTGGGAAACAGGAGGGAGAGGAATAGAAATCAGCCCTGAACTAAAAGAGGAAGCCTCCCCCAAAAAGAAGGTAGAAGGGCAGCCAGAAAGAAGACAGAAGAGAAAAAGTACAAAGGACAGGAAACAAAACTGGGCTGCGGGAAAAGAGGTGAGGGGACTGCATGGACAGGAGGTGAAGGGGCTGCAAGGACAGAGCCCTGGGGTCCTGGGTGACAGAAGCTCCCAGCTGGATTCAGGACTGAACTGCGAGGAAGGAGGCCAGCAGAGAAGAATCCAGTGTTCCCAGGGCAGAGGTCAGGGCCGTGCAGTCAGGAACTTGTACAGAGAGCTACACAGGGAGAGCCCTGTGGTCCTGGACAGCGGGAGCTGCCTTATGGATGTGAAATGGAAGCATGGGGATGGGAGGCCAGCAGAGAAAAGGTCCAGGGTTCCCAGGATGGAGACCAGCAGGGCTGCACTGAGAGAGCCCTGGGGTCTTGGATGACAGAAGCTGCCTTCTGGAAGTGGGACAGAACCACGGGGATGGGAGACCAGCAGGGAAGAGTCCCGGATTCCAAGGGCGGAGATCTGGGGTCGTCAAGTAGTCCAATTCCGGAGGAAGTAGTGTAGCTAAGTGTCCTGGAAACAGAGTCTGAGCAGACTGGCTTATGCAGCAAGCCCTGGAAAACCATGAGCCCTCGTGAGAATGTGATGGTTATCTAGGGTAACTGCTAGCTGAGAGACGCCGTATGGGTGCAATCATGATCATTTCCCTCAAATTGTCTGCCACAGCTTTTTTCAACACACTTGACAACATTGCGAACCACCTGAGTCACCTGAGATTCTTAATTGCAGCTAAAGATTTTTCACCTCATATAATACTATTGTGGGTGATTGTCTTGTGTAGTTTTCCTATGTATTGGTTCTTTTTGTACGTTTATCACCAACAGTTGATGGAACAAATAAAGCTGAGGTCACATACAGTACAGTAGATACTGTATGATTAAAGATGAAAGAAATGAGAATTGTCACCCTGCATCTTTGCAGCCTGGATGATTGTGCTTTGTTACGTGGAGTCTTAATGGAAGAAAGAATTGGAAACTTAAAACAAAGGTGTACTCCAGGAATAATAAGATGGGTCTGAGAAAGAAATGAATTGAGAAGAGAGGAAGTTCCAGTTACTCTTGGTAATTCCACAGAGTTTTAACCTGAGAGCTTTACTGATCCAAATGCTCCAGGAAGGCTGTCCTCAAGGTCTTTGGGGGTCTGGAAAAGGATTTTCATGTTCACCTCTGATTTTATTCATGTCACTGTTTGTCCATTGCAATTTTAGCTTCTTCCAGAAATGTCACAACGGGGCCAGCACCAGGTTATTCTGCTAACTGCTAGGGGGTGACTAGTACATTTCTGAGGTAGTCAATGTATACCATATGAGTATACTGTATATTGGCATTCCCCTTTACCTCAGATGCTTTCTAAAGGCAGGGGGAAGGGGAATGGGCTTCCTCACTGTCTTTCCAGAAGAGGTAGTACAGAAGTACTCTTCTTTCTGTATGACCCAGCACAATTTCCCTCAGTCCAAAGCCATACTGATGGGTTAATTGTCTTCTGGGAAAACTGGCCCAGGTGTGTGTGTGTGTTTGTGTCAGTATGTGTTCTGAGATTGACTGGTCCAGGGTGTATTTTGCCCTGAGCCTGTTGCTTGCCATGATAGACTCCAGCTCCCCTGCGACCCTGTGTAGGATAAAGAGGTTAGAAAACGAATGGATTGTTGGATCTCTCAACACTGGGACGGTAATACTGTCATGCTCAAGTATAAGTCTCTGCCCTGTATTATGTGTTGAATGCAAGTTTGAAATTTGCCTGCTATTTCTTCTATTATATGATAGTGTTTAATGGCTAACCAGCTTGTTAAAGATTGTCTCCGCTCTCTCTTTTAAAGTCTGACTTAGAAGGGGAGACTCTCCAAGACCAGTTTAATTATGTAAAGAAGAATATGAAACATTCCTTCCCTTGCCAGTATGGAAACCGGGTATGTTCTCAACACAACTCAAACAAATCTGTTTTCTCTTTAAACTTTGTTTATTTTGTCCTATAGCTTTATTGTAAAAAATGTACAATACAGTATGTTCAGCAAATTATTTATTAATGTGTATAGTATTCTGAATATCAAATAACATTTTCTTTAAATACATAATTTACAACAGTTGATGGAACAAATAAAGCTGAGGTCACATACGGTAAATGTTATTACAGGACATTAGTATTGTCACCCTGCATCTATATAGTATGTGAATAGGGAACAAGTATGAGTTAATACTGAAAAGTAGAAAGAAGGGTGTGAGCTTTAAAGAAGATACCTGCAGAAGGCTCTACAGTCAAATTGTTGCATTCTTTCCAAGTTTTTGTGGACTTAATCTCTATTCCTTTTGAAGCTGGATGTTAATACAGTTTTCCACTCACACTGTATGTACTATATTTAATTATATTATTATTGTATTCCTGTGTTTTGTGATTAATTGGGGTCATAATGAAAAGTGAAAAGAAAATATCTTCTTGTATACATACAGTACATTACTTGGATTGCCTCTTATACTGTATGTTTATATATGGACCTTGATACATGCTTACATGTGTGAAATTTACAAATATGCTTAAATTATGTTAAAATTGGTATATCAGTCAAATGGTTTTCATTGGATTTCAAATATGTTTATTTTGTCATATTTCCAAATACACAAACATTGCATTGTATGGTATGTGTAAGGTTGGTTTTTAGGGTGCAATTTTTTGTGGCACTTAGGTTTTTTTTTATTTTGCAGGACATTGCAAGGAAAACAATTACTGAGTTTTTAGGGAAATCAGCAGTTCCACATATCCAAAGGAGGTCTTGGGCATTAAAGCCAACAGATATTACACCCAGTTACAATGTCCCACTGGAAATCCAAGCTAACAGAATCAAAAGAGCACGTGACTCAGCACAAAAAGCAATATATGAAAGAGAGTACAAAAATATGCTCCGGGTAAACAGGCATTGAATTTTTTATTTGCATTTTTCTTTGAGAGACATGTATTCATCTTTACTTATATCAAATCATTCTCACAATCCTCTGTTGGTGTTGTGTAAACTGTTGAGAGATAATTGTATAACTAAATTTGCTTATACATTGTAGTCTTTTCATGATTTGTTGTCCCGTGATCTGTGCTATTCTACTGATCATGAAAAAGATATTAATAAGTAATAAGTCCATTATATATTGCTAAGCTCTGTATATCCTATTGTTACCACAGAAACAAAATGGTATGAGGGTTTAAATGTTGATCAAAGCAGGCAGAAACACAAAGACAGGCTGTAACATAAGAACAGGTGTTCATCCAAGTAGCGTGCTTAGCCCAAAACAGCTACAGGTATGTACTGTACGTACAGTAAAGGAACAAGTAATAGGTTTATTCCCTGTTGAAAAGAGAAGAGAGAAAACACAACGTTTCGGCTCTTCTCTTTTCAGCATGGAATAAACCTATTACTTGTTCCTTTACAGACTACGCATGCTGACGCAGCTACGCACCTGAACGTACAGTAGAACTGGTCGAAAGCTTAGGCATACAGACAGATAATATTTTCTCTTCACTTTATGTAAGAGCTATTTCTTGACTTATGCTGTGAAATTAAATTTTGGATTTTCCTATGACTTGAGAACAGATGCCCTCATCAGTCAGGGAGCTAACAATTTGTTTTTTCAGACAAGAAAGGAAATTGACAAGGCAGTGTGTGCCATCGCAAAAGATGCTTGTCCATCCGGAGCTGAGAGAGCTCTGAGAGAGAGAAGAGATCCAACCCAAGTCCGTGAGCTGAAGATCATCACACAGCACTTCAGAACCTGCTGTTATGACTGGAATGACACAAAGGTGAGATGGCATTTGAAAGGTTATTAGTCATAAATGCCAAAAGGAGATCTGTGACTCTAGTTTTCAATGGGCTGCCACTTCCACAAACTTGCAATTAGTTCACTCTCTGGTTTTTCACCAGAAAGGCTGGTGAGATGGTAGATTAAGAACAAAATTAATAATAATTAAAAATTCCTTACATTTATATAGCACTTTTCTGGACACTCCACTCAAAGCACTTTATGCTTTAAGTAATGGGGACTCCCCTCCACCACCACCAATGTGTAGCAGCACCTGGATGATGCAACAGCAGCCATAGTGCTCCAGTACTCTCACCACACATCAGCTATCAGTGGGGAGGAGAACAGAGTGATGAAAGCAAATCATAGAGGGGATTATTAGGAGGCCATGATTGGTAAAGGCCAGGAGGAAATGTGGCCAGGACACTGGGGATACACCCCTACTCTTTTCAAGAAACACCCTGGGGCATTAGGACCCACACAGACCACAGGGTGAGCACTCTCTACTGGCCCCACTATCACCTCTTCCAGCAGCAACCCTAGCTTTCCCAGGAGGTCTCAGATCCAGGTACAGGTAACTATCTGCACCATAATAATTCATCACGCTTTGCTCTTGGGTGTTATTCCTAGTGAATTGTCTTTCTCAGTCCAGTAATTTTTGTTTCCTTCTTTAATTAATTTGGGGGTGGTATTGGTTAAATAATAACTGTTGTCTTTTTCTTTACAGTACAAATATGCTATCTCGCACATGCATGTCTTTGTTAATTTGTGTGAATCGGGAACACCAGTTGAAAGGTTGGTTTTCTTTTTTGTAAGATCAGTGCAGCATATACAGGAATACATATGTACAGACCAAAGTTACAATATTATTGTTAATAGTAAGTGGAAATGATTCCATAGTGTGAGATCCTTTTCTTTTTCATTTTCATTGCATGCATTAGTGCAGAACAGACAAACACAAAAGACATGCATGTAGTATATTAGAACCTTAAATCAGTGCAATTCACTATTTCTTGAAAATATGCATCCACAACCTTGAAAGTACAAAGATGGTGTTCTGTATAAAGATAAGGAACAAGTAATAGTTTTATTCCATGCTGAAAAGAGAACAAAACACAATATTTCGGCCGTGGAGCCTTCTTCAGGTGTGAGGTGCTCGCACCTGAAGAAGGCTCCATGGCCGAAATGTTGTTTTCTTTCTTCTCTTTTCAGCATGGAATAAAACTATTACTTGTTCCTTTGCAGCCTACACATGCTGACACAGCTACCCACCTCTATAACAATAATATTACTTAGGGGGTTACTGATACTGACAGGTTTTGAGGTACCTGTACAATATAAAAAGTATTTTATATAAAATAGATTTCAGTGTGAATTGATTCAATAGATTATGTAATTTAGCAAGAGACAAATATAAGATGCTACCACGTTGAGCATAGAAGAATAATTTAGAGAATTATTTTTTTAATTTACAAAAACTTTTCACCAAGCCTAAAACAGCCAATACTCTGGGATCCCATTGTGCTGGCTGCAGGAAAGAGTTCTATCTTGTCCTGTCTCTATATAGTATAGTGCAATTGTGTTTCATTTTCCAAAGTGAAATCTACACATAAACCATAGTGTGCTGCATTTGGTATGTCTTTATTTTCCAGCTATTCTACAAAAACTCGATACATAGTCGTGTTTGTCTTTGTTACATCTTTTCTAGATTGTACGTATGTGTACCATTGGATAATAGAGAAACACATCAGCATAGTTCATTCATACATTTCCTCTTCCTGTATTTGTTTCCAAGCTAACTGTGTTTGTAGGTAGACTGTAGGGTACATTGCAAATTTTACAATAGGATCAGATTGGAATAGAATTGGGATTATCAAGTAGGCACATACATTTTCATTTTCATAAACCCAGTTTTCAATCAAAATAATTCACATAAGTACATTAATTTGTGGTGCAGATGTTCTGGTACACATAAATTACACGTACAAAAACATTTAAAAGCCTATTTTCTATTTATTAGATTTATTTATCGTGAACAGTGCTTGGCTCCGGGAGTGTAATATTTGTGGTGGTGGGAAGTATAATTACAATATATATTAGACCTATGTTAAAATAAAATAATTGTAACCTTTTTTTTCCTACAGAATTATGGCTGCTATAACTCAAGTGAGCAGAACCCAGCAGAAGCATTGAATATTTTCAAGAACCTGTTTTTAAGAACCTGTTCTGAAGCGTGATTTGTTTTCCGTTTATACCCATCTGTTTTAGTGATGTTTTTGAAATGCATGCGTTTTCTTTATATATTCCTGTATTTATTTCATATACTCAGAACATAGCATTAAAAGGTTTCTGTGTTGAAATTTGCAAAGGTAGTATTTGAAGACATTTGCTCAGATACACCGAATCTTATGAATTGAATATTACATATAGCTTATGTAATCTTTTTAAAATAGTCACTACTTTAAAAATGGTTATTGTCAATTGTCAAGGGTCTAAAAATCCCTGAATCTTGGGTTAAAGGGTTAAAGTGGGACTTGATTTCTTTGGAAGGTGATCATGCATGGAGCAGTGTGGTGGTGCAATAGTTAACATTGCTGCCTCACAACATAGGTGCCCTGGGTTCAGTTCTGGACCTAAGGTGCTATCTTTGTAGAGTTTGTACAATATGTTCTCCCTGTGTTTGTATGGGCTTCCTCCCACACTGGTACTTTTTCTATCAAAATAAACTGTATTTCACAATAAACGTCTCAGAATAAATATATACTCATGCAAAGTCATGTGATCTCTACTATATTACAAATGTTCTAAAAAAGGTGAATGTCCTTTAACAATTAATCAGAGCAAGTGGATGCTGGGACTGGATTTGCACGATGAAAAGAGTCCCTCCAAGCCCTACCACTTTATCCATGCCTTTTCCCTGTCCTGGCTCTGAAACTGCGGTTGTCCAGTCCTCCGCAGGAGTTCCAGGGAACAGGGATTTCCTCTTTAGTCCCTGTTCAGGGCCCACAGTCCCTTCCTATGCTCCTTCACTATTAAAAAGCCTCCCACACTGGTCATTTTTTTCCAATTAAAAGATAAACTTTATTTCACAAAAAAACATTTCATAATAAGTACACACTCTAACAACTTATCAAGCTCACATCAATTAAGAACGTTCCAAATCAGGTGATTGTCCATTATCAATCAGTTCCAGTGGGTTGTGGGGCCAGATTTGCACAATGAAAGAGTTCCTCCAAGCCCTACCACACCGTTATCCACGCCATTTCCCTGTCCCGGCTCTGAAACCACGGTCGTCCAGTCCTCTGTAGGAGCTCAGGGCACAGGGGTTTCTGTTTTAGCCCCTGTACTGGGCCCAGAGCCACTTCCAGCGCTCCCTCACCATTGGAGAAGCCCCATTTGGCGATGTTGCGCTTCACCCTTCCTCTGAATCCGCAAGGACCTTCTCTTCCAGCTTCCTCGCTCCCCACTCTGTGTTGTGCTGAATGAGAGTGCTCCTCGTGTTCCAGAGCCCTTGTTTTGTTAAGGACACCAGTAGCCAAAGCAAGTACTGTGTCCTCTTGTCCAGTCCGGTCGGTGTCAGCCCCAGCAGTTACTGTAACTGAGCACTGTTCCTGCTCCCAGGAGTTGCATAGTGTTGTCCATTCTGCCCCACACCGCTTTGGCGAAGGGCCAGCTCCAGAAAACGTGCTACTGTGTCTCTTCTATGAAGCACGTCTCCCAGGGGCAATGTGGATTTCTTGCGAGCGAGTGTCTGTAAAGGACCTCTGTGGTTGCCAGCCTCTGGTGCCCTGCCATCCAGGGAAGATCCTTCAGCTTGTTGTCCAATTCCTTTGGCTGTGTCTTTGTGTCCTTGGCTGTGTCCTTGTCTGGGCCCAGTCTGTGGCTGTGGCTCTCCATCCCGATGAGCCCAGAAATGCGGCATGTCTCTTCCCCGTTCCTCAACTGGCTGGCACGTCCGGTTCCTCATGCTGTACTCATACTCTTACTGCCCCCCCCAGACGAACTTGAAGACAAACTTGAAGACCATCCCTTGCAGAGCTCGTCTGAGTCTGGGCAGCACTGCCAGGTAAACCAAAGTCAGCAGGATGTCTGCTTTCAACACCATCACTTTCCCCATGAGGGACAGCGACCATGTTTTCCACAGACCCAGCTTCACGTTCACCTGGGAAAAAGCATCTTTGATTGTTGGAAGAAAAACTTGTGCCCTAAGCAGGAATCAAACCCAGACCTCTGTGGTCTGAGAGGCATGTACCGAAACCACTGCACCAACACGCCACCCACACACTGGTAATACTGGTAGGTTAATTGACTTCTCAGAAATTGGCTTTGGTATAAGAGTATTCAGTACAGTATGTGGCTGTGTGTGCTCTGTGATGGACTGGCATCCCATCCATGGTGTACCCTGCCTTGCAGCTGTTGCTTGCTGTGGCTCCAACTCCCCCAAAACCCTAGATTGGATGAATCAGTTAGAAAATGGAGGGAGTGTGATGGTGCTCTTCTATGTGTCCAAAACATGACGAAAACACAATGATATGGAGCAGATGTATGTCTATTATTGTGATCTACAGTATGTGTCCCTTCACGTCTCATTTACATGCGTGTCAAATTTAGTTTTCTCAATACAGTTGTTTTAACAGCCCAGATACCACCATTAGCACTGTATTGTATTTGAAAGCTGTTTTGGTGAAACACCATTTTATATGACATGTATGTTTTTACATACACTGCTTGCACTAGTCTGATAATTGTGTTTTTACTAGACAAAATATTCTCCTTTTCCCCTTTTCTTGATAAAAGAACTGCCTTTTTGTTATGGGAGTCATCACCATCATGACCTAAAGCAGAGCAGTCTTTTGACAGGATCAGAGAAGAGCTGCATTTGGGGAAATTAATTATATTTTCACACTGTTGCTACAAGAACCATGCAAGTTAATTCTCTCTAAGGATCAAGTTAATGCTTGAATGGTTTTCAGTAAAACTGCAAGCAGCAAATGGGTAAACAAGAAGTAGATAGTTATTGATGTTGCCATTTTTGCATTTATGTATGTAGAAAATAAAATATAAAGACCTTTGCCAGCACCCACCCTACTAATATATGCAGTACCTATTTAATTATTCATTAATAAGACTCTAAGAAAGTCTAGTCATCAAATGAGAGATAATGAAGTATTATAAAGAAAAGGTGACACTGTATAATCTCCGTTTAAACTGTTTTGAAAAGAAATGCAATCTGAGAAGGAGTAATTGGAAAACATACAGCCATATGAAAAGAAAGTTCCCCCTCTTTCAATTCTTTGATTTTATATACATTATGACATAATCATCTGGTCCTTACCAGGTCCAAAAATTAGGTAAATCTAACCTCAGATGATAATCACACAACAGATTCCATAATGTCATTATTTAACAAAAAATAAGCCAACATGCAGAAGCCATGTGTGAAAAACTAAGTACACCCCATGATTCAGTAGTTTGTAGAACCACCTTTATCAGAAATAACTTGAAGTGATAATTTCCTGTATGCGTTTATCAGTCTCTCACACCATTTGAAGAATTTTGGCTCATTCTTCTTAACAACATTGCTTCATTTCACTGATGCTTGAGGGCATTCATCCATGCACAGCTCTCTTAAGGTCCTGCCACAGCATCTCAATGGGGTTGAGATCTGGACTTTGACTTGGCCATTCCAACACCTTGATTCTTTTCTTTTTCAGCCATTCAGTTGTAGATTTGCTAGTGTGCTTGGGAACTTTGCCTGTTGCATGACCCAATTTCAGCCAAGGTTTAGTGGTCAGACAGATGGCCTCATTTGTCTCTAGAATACTTTGGTATAAAGAGGAGTTCATGGTCGACTCGATGACTGCAAGGTGCCCAAGTCCTGTGGCTGCAAAACAAGCCCAAATCATCACCCCTCCACCACCGTGCTTGACGGTTGGTATGAGGTGTTTGTGGCTATACGCTGCGTTTGGTTTTCACCAAACATGGCGTCGTGCATAATGACCAGACATCTCCCCTTTGGTCTTGTCTGTCCAAAAGACATTGTTCCAGAAATCTTGTGGTTTGTTCAGATGCAAATTTGCAAACCTAAGCTGTGCTGCCATGTTCTTTTTGGGGAGAAGGGGCTTTCTCCTGGCTGTCCTTCCGTGAAAGCCATACTTGTTCAGTCTTTTTCTGATCATAGTCATGAACTTTAACATTTAACATTGACCAAGGCCTCCAGATCCCTAGATATAGCTCTTCATTTCTTTGCAATTTCTCTGAGCATTATACGGCCCAACCTTGGGATGAGTTTGCTGGGATGCCCACTCCTGGGAAGATTGGCAACTGTCTTGAATGTTCTCCATTTGTAAATACTTCTCAATGTAGAAGGGTGGATTTCAAATTGTTTGGAAATGACCTTATAACCCTTCCCAGACTGATGAGCAGCAACAATTGCTTCTCTGAGTTCATTGCTGATGTCTTTTCTCCTTGGCATGGTATTAACACACACATGAATGATCCAGACCACCAAACTGCCAAAAGTTCTGCTTTTATAGAGGTGGTCACATTTCCTGATGATCAACCAGTCAAGTGCATTTGATTAGCAGCACCTGGGTGCTAATTACCTTCTTAATTCCTATGGAAGCAGTAAGGGTGTACTTATTTTATTTTTCCCACATGGTTTCTGCATTTTGACTTTTTGTTGAATAAATAATGACATAGTGAAATGTTATGTGCTGTGTATTATCTGAGGCTAGATTTGTTTAATTATAGAAGTTGGTGAGGACCAGACGATTATTAGTTATGCCCCGATATGTAAAACCAGTGAATTGAAAGAGGGTGTACTTTATTTTTCACATGACTGTAGCTCCACTTCTCCACCCTCTTACCTTTAATGGAGAGACTACATCGGTTATTATTCTATTCGTTTCTTAAGACTCAATCGTAATCAACATAACCAATCTTAGACTAGTATGAGCTCCCGTTCACGTATGCAGTATATAACCTATTTTAATTCTCTGTTTCATTGTATTTTTGTGAATAAGTACTGTTTCTTTACTCTGAGACTTGTCGTATCTTGTTTCTATTATGCGTCACATGTAAAATCAACTTAAAAACTGTAATAAAGCCATATTCTTTCGGGAAACCAGGGTGACAAACTCAACATTTCAGCCCTCTTTGTTTTGAAAGTTGGTGAGTCTCCGAAGCCATCTTAGTAAGGTCAGTCTCGCACATCCTTGCTCTCGCGGTATTTCATGATTCCCGCGAGCTAACGCGCCTGACTAGGCTCACTGGTTTCCTGTCTCCCCAGTTGTTTGGTTAATGGCGGATGGGTTGGAGTAACGGCTGGTTTAGTGCGGCTTGTAAACCGGGAAAACAAAGCACAGGGGGCGGGTAAGGATAAACTGACACATGCGATCACTTGTGCGGATCCGAAGTGCGGACTCAGAAACGGAACGATGAAGGGTTGAGCTGTCGCTGGGAAGAAAAGTGAAAGGGGACATTGGAGATACTGTGCAATATTCAGCGGCCTGAAGACCCCGGGGCTGGAATTTTTATCGGTAGGTTAGAGAATTGAGAGCAGGGAAATCGACGTGCTAGCAACTTCCAAACTCCTCAGAGAGTGGGCACCGGAGGCTCACCCGATATAGCCGAAATGCCGCCGTGTCTTCTGCACGGGAGCCTGCCGGAGGACTGCTGTTGAGACTCGCCAGCCGGTATTCTGGATGCTGGGTGTTGAATCCAGCAGCCCAAGTGCCCGTGTTGCCCGCTTGTCATCGTGGTTTTTCCACCTTCACCCGGGTGTTCCGATCATCGGCTCCGTGTCCCGTGTTTGGTGAGAGGACGGTTGAGCGGCGGAGGCGCCGGGATCGGCCGGTTTGTGAGTCACCCTTTCAGGGGTGTAGTCTCTGCCACAGCGTACTTGTCCCGGGGGAAGACCGAGCCGCGGATTTCGAGGAATCGCGGACTGCGGCTGTACCGAGAGTTTCAGCTGGGAACTGTTGTTTTGAAAGGTGGCAGGAGGAGCGACTGAAAGGATCGGTTTTCGCTGTTTTGCGATCTTCCTCCGAGGGGTCAGGGTCGGAGCCTCTGTAGGGCCCCGGCTGATGTCCCGGGACACCGGACCACAGAGATCGATGCGGCGCTGAAGGTTAGTCCACCTGTCCTGGCCACTGGTTTTTGACGATATAGGCTTATTCCGTTTAATCAAATCCTGTCCTAGTCCACAGGGGTAGGTGTTTTACAGAAATTTCCCTGGATTGTTGGCACGGACGCCAGGGGATAGATTATTCCTGTTTATATTAGTTAAGTTCGTTATCGTGAAACTGTAAGTAGTTCACAGTGGGAAGCGAAACTTCCCGTTAATTTGTGTTCCTCCTGGCATATACACTAGCTTATTCTCTTGTGCGATCTGCGTGGAAAATTTTGTAACCCATAACTTAGCTGACAGTGTAAGCTGTGCGTCAGACAAACATTAATAGAAGCCGGGTGTTTTGTTTTGTAGGACGTGTCATTTAAAAACTGAAAGTCGTTCGCATTATTTACGATTTTAAGGAATGTTTAATCGCGTCGGTAAAACTGATTTTGGTTCCCACTCCACCTCGACCTCGTCTTGAGGGTCTTCTTTGGTCCACGACTCATCTTGCCGAGAGCTCGGAAAAATCGTTTGCTTTTTGAAGATTTAAAAGACTTTTATCAAATGCACTTGAATTGGTGGGATATCTGTGGTATCGAGCACTAAAGTGATTGAGATAGAAAGGGGATTTCCCTTCTGTGCAACTAATCAAATCCTAAAGCTTTTCTCCACCGTGTCTGAGAGAGGTCTTTTTGATGTCAGATGACTACAGAGACAGGTGTAGAAATCTTTTAGATTATCTCTGAGGTCATGCGCATTGTTTATATTAAAAGAGAACGGGGTGGCACATTAATTTGCCTTTTTCCAGAAGATTGTGGTTGGCGTGGCTGCCTGGCACTGGGTACAGTTCCAGATTTGGCATGCTGTCTGTGTGGAGTTTGCATGTTCTCTCTCCGTGTCCACGTGGGTTTGTTCTAGGTGCTCTGGTTTCCGCCCACAGTCCGAAGACATACTCGTGGGTTAATTGACTTCTGGGGGAACTGTTGCAGGCTTGAGCGTGTGCCCTGCGATGTACTGGTATCTCATCCAGGGTGTACCCAGCCTTGCGTCCACTGCTTGCGGCAGTAGGCTCGAGCTCCCCCCACGCTGTTCCAGAAGCTTGGTGACTGGGGCACTGCTGTACTATGGCTTTGAGTCTCGAGTCTGAAACACAGTAATTGGTTTTATGTGGTTATTTTTCACATTCTTATACCAACACCCCATCGCGCCTGCTGAGAAGAACAAAAATCTTCAATCATCCTTCTTCTGATGCAGTTTAATAGTTTCCACAGTTGTTCGATAACATTATACGTTACAATACTTCTTACAAGTAGGATGACTGCTGACTGATTCTGACGTCCGACCTAAGATGAACCTACAGATCACTACACCTAAAATACTGCAGTATGCATGTGTATATACATTTAAGAATTTAAATTAAATTAAAAACAAGACCCTCTGTAAGGTAATATCTCTGTAGCCTAATTCTGTTGATGTTCTTTAATCTACGTTTGATGCTGATGTGTACTGAGCAGCTTTAACAATGCATGCCTTGCTTTTAAAGTATCTCGTGCTTTAATAACATATCGTTGAAGTTGCCAGTCAGCCCAGAGGAATATTGAACAACATTCAGTGCAACACCACCAGCTCTGTAGTGAGGAATTCTACTGCGGGCAGTTTCATTGCCTGTGATGAGTGTATTAATAGGAGTTCATTCGTAGTGCTGAATCCTTGGTGCACTTGGAGTTGTTCTACTTGAGTCAAAAATCTGTACTGAAAAAAAGAGGGGAAAATGTGGAAGTGTTTTTAAGATTAGTCAACTTACAGAGGCCTATAAAAATATATGTCTATGAAAGTCTGTGAAAATATATATATATTTGATATATTTATATTTATCTATAATAAATAGATAAGATCACTTTATTAGCCATATACAATTTCTTGCATTAAGAATTTGTCTTTTTGTATACCCCAGCTTGCTCTGAACAGATACCTTTTCAATCTTGTTCATATCCTGTTTTTGGCTACTGTGCGATGTTATAGTTGGCATGAATATAAAAGCAGGTCCAGATATACGCTCCTTTTTAAAAAAAGTATCCTGTAAGCAAATGAAGAAAATAGATATTAAGTGTTGTATTTTTAATGGAAAA